TATGGGGACTTGAGCTTTTCAATCCCTGTGCTGGTTGGCACAGGAAGATATAGCAAAAGACTTTTTAAGAGAACCTACATCAAGATTCTTGTCTTCATTCCACTGTCTTTGCCTTATGTTTCCCCTGACTGGCTGTTCTCGGTGACATCCATGTCCATACTAATTCTTCTGGGATTAGCTCAGAATCTCTGAGCTGGCCACTATGACAATCATGGGACTATCCAAATGATTCATGGCTCATCTTCCAAAGGCAAATCTGTTATTTTGGTCTGGAATTGGAAGTGGAGATAGAGTATTGCCCTTGGCATAGACCAAACATATTTTGTTCAGTGTGAGGCATACCTTTTCCATCAGAACAAAAGACTTCTTCCAATGGTCTGTGAGTGACCATTGATGGAATCATTGCATGTTTGGATTAGTCTGAGGAGAATACTGTTCAGACGAAAGCCCTCTCTACTAAATACTATTCAGCTATTAATATTCTGGCTATTAAGTATTCTCTCCCTCTTGCTTTTTCCCTACAGTATACAGACATCCCTGGGATGGGCACAATCTAAATGTCTGGGTAGTTAGACTGAGACAGTTGGAGCTAAAGGGAAAAGAGCAAAAGCAACCATTGTAGAAGTCTCATTCCAAGACCATAAAAAGTTTTTAAAAACCTTATGCCATTACTGTGCAAGCATAGTTTCTTCACCTTCCTCAAAGGCCAGAGAAATGCAGCTATTTTGGGTAGTATACAGGTTAATCCAGGTTGTTTCTGCTTGGCTGCAAGTTGGAGCTTTTCCTGCTGTGGTGAATTTTCATGTTATTTGGCAGACAACCTTATTCTAGTCTCAATTGACCTGCCTCCCTCAGCTGTGGTGCATCAGTGTCTTGGGGCAGGGAAGCAATACATGTGTCTTTTTGCTTGAGTTTTAGACACTGTAATTCACTGATGTTTTAGAGGTGTTGGCAGAACTTTAAGCTACAATTGGTGAGCCGAACCCATGTCCTCCCAGGCTGGCAAAGATCAGTGGAGAAGTGCAGAACCTGTTTTGATTAAGATTATCAATGGTTGTAGACAAAGGCATTTTCCTTGCTATGTTTGTTTTGTGTTTGATGTACAGTTTTGGCAGGCTTGAAACTTACTTTTGCTAGCTGTTTAACACTGCTTTAAAAAACAAAGACTGAAGTATGACTCACTGTTAGCACAGCAGAATAGATTTTGTCAGGAATGGTTATAAAGGACTGTGGTGCAGGCAGTCTTGCCTAGTAGCCACAGCTGGGCTGAGTCTGCCCATCAGGGATGGGAGTCACCAGGTCAGAGTTAGAGGAGTTGCAAGACCAGGTCCCATAAACCATAGTCAGGGTTAGAGTCAAGCTGGGGTCAGAGACCAGTGCCAGTGCCAGGCTAACATCCAGAGGCAGGAATTGGGGTCGAAGTCAGGGTAGAGTCAGAGACCAGAGATCAGGAGACAAGGCAAAGTCTGGCATTGCAGTAGGCCAAAGTCTTTCTGGCTACCCAGACAACCTCCTGGGCCAACCCCTGGGTTAAGGAGAGCCACTTGGCCAATCAGAGGGCTGCACAATACTGTCACTCTGTGGGACTGATTTCTTCAATACCAATCATGTGGTCATTAAAGCTGGGTGAGATTTGGCCACAAAGGTTGTGAAGGCTCCAAAAGAATATGTGAAATGTTATACAACCCCTCCACAAGGATTGCTTTAATAGGGGCCAGATTGTGCAAACTACACAGGGCCCTGAATAAGGCCAGTTGGCAGACACATCACCATAGCAAAACTCTAGTCAGGATTTTGCCTCAGCCTCTTAAAATGATTCAGCCTGCTACCTACTCCACAGGCTAGTGTGTGGGGTCAAGACCATGGCTCTGCCTCCAAGGGGTGGATTACCACCCACCCAGGGGAATCCCCTGTGCTCCTTCAAAGTAAGAGGCTGTCATTGTTTCTTTCCCTTGTCTGGAAAGCATGGGAGTGGAAATGGGAAAAGGTCTCCTTTTGCCTTCACCTCTTGCAAACCCACATGAGGGCAAAGGGCAACCTAGCCCTAGTAGTAATGCTATTATTTTGTCTTAGAGAAGATTTATGCCTGTCTGACTTCACTCCGTAAAATTCTGCACTTGAGAGTCTTAGCTACCGTATTTCCTTTAGCTACTGTACATCACGGATATAAGGCAATCCTATGTGTCTATGTCATACTAAAAAAAGATTTTCAAACTCCTATCTAGCATTTTCATTTTAGCCCACTGTTACCTGTTCCATTCTGCATTGTTTATATAAGAAGGATTTTAATCAATTCTGATCTATTGGTTTTCCTTTTAGGCAAAACAATTGTACTGTTATCCCTTCTAAAACAACATCCTGAAGCTTCTACGGTATGGAAAGTTACTCAAAGCACTTATGAAAGAGAGAACCAGAGAGCCTGTAAAAGCTGGAAACAGAAAATGCTAGATGTGTGCTCCGTTACACACCAAACATTCAGTTAACAGTTATTCTGTATTAGAAATAGCTTACTAAGTAAATCTATATTGAAATCTCGATATCCTGCTGACTGTGTTATAATGAAGTAAATGTTATCAAGAGGATGCAATACACAGATTGATAGGGAAAAGAAGTTTGCAGGGATGACAAGTAATTCTTAAGACTTTCATTCTTAACCTGCATTGTATGAGAATGTATTTAGAATAGCTCCTCTGTTGTTTGAAGATAACAGACCTCATTCATATCTGTAAAACTGCTGGGAAATCATCATTCTAACATCTCTACCATCTAGAATATAGATTTCCAAATAGTTTCTTCAGAACGGAAAATGTAAAACTAGGAGTTAACGACTAGAAAACCAAGAACATTTAGGTCTTTCCGTGTCACATCAACCAGTGCCTCCTGCATTGCAACTTCTTCAATCTGCTTTTCTGCTTGCGTACGGAGTTAAAAACATGCATAAGCACTTCAGCACCTTCTGGGGCATTTTACTTGTCATTGTCTATTGCTCAAAGATGTGAGAACCCCCCTCAGAATGAAGTTACTATGACATTTCTGTAAATGTTAAGCTCCCAGATAAGGATATGTTCTTTCCACAAGTGCTAAAATCACTGAATGGGCAGCTTGAGGCTTCCCCTGGCATGAAGGAATCCCAGAGCGGCATAAAACAGCATAGCTAATTCTATGCCACCCCCTCTTCATTGCCCCCTACACACACACATAGAGCACAGGGGGTATACAAAGGTTTGAATGTAGAGCTTTGGTGATCCCCAGCAGCAAAACATTCCCTAGGCAGCTATTACAAGCTATCATAAATTAGAGCAGCCCCAGAAAATAGAAGAGCATAAATGTTTACAGCCTTAGCTTCCCTGCCCTGAAAGCCAAGCAGAGGTCGTACAGCCTATATAGCTGAAATATGTCAGGATAGTATAGTTTTGTCAATGTAGTAAAACAATTGATTATAATTAAAGTATTGCTACACTTTATAAAACATTCATAAATAACTTGGACAAAATTCTTCTTCCATTGTGCACCTCCAGTTGACCTCATCAGGGATTACATGCAGCTATCTGAGGGCAGAAAATTTTGTTGTCTTTCATGAAAGCTGGCCAATTAGTACTATTTTTAGAATACTTTATATACGTTAAATATTACTGCAATGGAAATATGGTTTAATTTTCAAACATCCACTCTTTCACTGTTCCCATAAAATATGTACAAATAGGTAAATATGTGTGACTACTTGTGCATGCAATTGTCTGTTTTGCACATTCAGTTTCCTGTTTGCTTGTTTGAGTTTCTGCATTTTTGTGGGTCAGTCTTAAGTGTGAATGTTTGAAAATGTAATCCATATGGTATAGGTACATACAGAGCCTGAGCCTTCTCTCATGTACACCCATATAAATCAGGTGTCTGTGGATTTTTACTTAAGTGAGAGGAAAATCAAGTAGACTTGTAATTTTTCCACATAAGAAATCCCACTGAACAACAATCTCTGTTCTGCTGCTTTTACTCATATTGAGCAGGGACTACTCGTGGAGTAAGATGGTACTCAATACAGGTAAGGGTGATAGAATTTTCCCCATTGTGAATTAAAAGGACTGAGAAGAAAATATTCTGTAAAAGAAGAAATGATCCACTTCAGAGAGGCATAAAAGAGACTAATGTAATTTAAAACACAAATGCTTCACAAGAGGTTTTTTGTTTGTTTTACATATCATAGTTCTATTATGAATCCCAAGAAAAGATTTAGAGAATTTCAAGCACAAACTGGCTATAAATGTATACAGTGAGATTGTCTGGCTTTTACTTTAGTTGTTGTAGAAGTGTGAAAAATGGAAGCTGTTTTTTGTTTTCCAAATGGTAAAGGTCAGTATTGACTGGATGCAAACTTATTAATGCTCAAGTCGATACTTGATTCACCTCAGGATTTTCCTTGATTCTGTTCATTTGAAAGGATGTCAGTCATGGTTTAAACTGGGCAATTAGTTTAATAAATACCAGCAGTAACCTATGCAATATTCATGTTTATCTAGCAGCTGTAAGAAGTGTGGCATTTAGAGCAGTGGTCCTCAAACTTTTGAGGGTCGTGCCCCTCTTACCCCATCCGCATCTCCCCACACCCTCTCCAAGAGCCAGGACCAGGAGCGGGGACAAGGCTCTGAGGGTAGAGCGGGAGACACGGACAGGGGTGTCGGAGAATAACAGAGTTCTCACTCTTTTTGGTTGGGTACAGCAAAGTCAGATACTTTATTCTCTCAAGCAGCTGCGTAAAGGGAAAGAGTGCACTAGGACACAGGGTCTCCCCCTCCTAGGCGGGTCTCTCAACAGGTAAACAATTACAACAAGCATTTATACCTTTTGTTACAGACAATAAAAAGCAACAGCTGCATTTTGTTTATACATAGGTCATTCTGATATCTTGTTTTTCTCACTTATGTAGACTCTTAGTCTACATTCCATATTGTCTGCACATTATCTACACAAGGTCGCAACAACTTCTCACACAGTTCTTTCCCACTCGCCTCACACAATCCTCGCTTCTACAAATCTCGCGTTATTAGGGTTACAGTTAGCCTGACTCTTACAAACAAACTGTCATGCATTGCAATCCCCTTCCTGTCAGTTCTTTCTCTGTTTCCACAGGGGTAATGGGACCGAGGCTGGGGCCGCAGTTGGAAGTGGGGCTGGGAGCAGGAGCGGAGATGGAGCCACAGCCAGGGGCCAAGCCTAGGAGTGGGGATGGAGCCGGGAGCAGAGCCATGCCGAGTCTGGAGGTGGGACTGGGAGCAGAGCTGGGGGTGAGGAGGGGCTGGGTGGCGCTTCCTCCCTGCCCCCCCCCCCATGGGGGCTGGCACAGGCCCTGCTGTGCCCCACCACCAAACATTGTTCAGCACAGTTTGGGGACCTCTGCCTTAGAGGATGACCTGATCACAGGCACTTGAGCAAGTCTGACTTTCCTGCAGAGGGTGTTGGTACACATCCACACTGTGGGAGAAGAGATAGACATATTGTTGTAGCACATCATGAAAAACCCTGATGTTGGTGGAATTGTGACATAAGAAGTATCTTGATGTCCTCCTTCTCTTCTTATTCCCTTCTTCCCTGGCTCATTTATCCCTATCTTCATACTCTCTTTTTTCTCCTTTTCATGTATCCCACCCCAATTCCTTTTTCTCTTGCTTATCCTTTTCTATTTATCTATCCTTACTCCTCCCTATATTTCTGTCCTCCTGTCCTTTTCTCTTCTATCTCTGTCTTTCTTATATTCTTCATTCACTGAAATGCAACATGATTAACCTTGACCAGATGTGACAATAACATTCCATCCAGTAGTGAGAACTGATTGGGAGAACAGTCCCATGTGCAAACTTATATTCATACAGTTATACACTGTATACAGAGAAAAGACAGAAAAGAAAGGGTATATGTTTGTTTGTTAAATACTTTACCATTCTAATTTATTATGTACAATTTAGGTACAGAAAAATCAAGTCAGACTCAGTCTTTCATAATGGAAGGAAAATTACTGCCCAGAAATTATTTTGATTCATTATTTGTAAATGCAATTTTTGAAAAGGTTGGACTGAGCACATTTTTAAATGCCTTAATATTTAGTATCATATAATCACTTATGTAAAATCAGGTGCATCATCCTGCAGACCAAAACAATGCAGACTTGAAGAAAAGCCCAGATTCACATGTTTAGAGAGCAAGCTTTTGAAAAAGACAGGTTTGTCTCATTAAGGGCTAGATGTTTAAGTCACATCACAATCTACCCTGAGTAAAGACCTCACACCACTGTACTACTCCTATAGAAGACAGGCTGCAATGAATATAGAAGTGGATCAATAGCCATTGCAGAACTTGAAATAGTCCTATGATGCGGTGCACTTTTGTCTGCCACTCCACATATAGCACTAATCAGGCTGCTGTGGTGGAACCATTTGTAATCTCTTTGGGTATGTCTGCACTGCGCAAAAAAAAACCAAAAAAAAAGCCACGGTGGCCGCATGTATCAAGGCCCAGGTCTACAGACTCAGACTCGCGGGGCTCTCACTATCGTGCTAAAAATAGCAGTGTAGACATTCATGCTTGGGCTAGTGCTCGGGCTCTGAAACATGGGTGGGGGGGTGGTCTGCCAGAGAGTTGAACATAGAGTGTGCTGCTGTTGTCTAGACATGAGATGTGGATAAGGCCAACATCTGAGAGGTAAGCTGCAGTTTCCTTGCCAACAGAGATGAAAAAAAGCATTTCCATCCACTGCTACTACATGTGAGCATCTATGAATAGTAATGAGTCCAAAAGGACTCCAGAGTGGCACACCTCCTTGAAAATTGGCAGGCAGATGTCGTCTGCTGAGGGTCGATCACGGCTCCTGCTAGTTTCTCAAAGTGCTTTCTTCTGACAACTACTATCACCTCAATCATATCTCAACTGAACTTGAGTCAGCTGTTTTACAATCTCAATTGATTGGCCTCTTACAGTTGGTATGGCTACTTCCACCTTTTCATGTTCTCTGTATGTATAAATATCTTCTGTCTGTGTGTTCCATTCTATGCATCTGATGAAATGGGCTGTAGCCCACGAAAGCTTATGCTCAAATAAATTTGTTAGTCTCTAAGGTGCCACAAGTACTCCTGTTTTTCACCGAGCTCCCCCACCAATTTCTCTCTGCAGGGAGACATCACTGGCAGTGCGCATGACAAAGGCATTTCGCATGTTCACATTAACTATATCAAAGAAGAATTGGCAAAAATACACTGATATCAGACCCTATCCATACTCATTCAGTATCCATAATTACAAATTACTAAAATATAGCTATCAGAGTTTTTAATTTCACCATTTAATAAGTCTTCATTTTTATAGGTCAATATGATGTTCAGTATGTGTAACCCTATTCTACCCTTTAATCTATTGGGAGGGAGGTGTTATCTTCTTTAAACAAAGGTTTTCAAAGTCCTTTTTCATTCAAAGTCCAGTTTCATTTGTGAGTCATGACAAAAAAAAGTCATCAGAAATTTTCCTTTATAGCATTTTGAGGGATTTCTCAATTTTAGGACCCTGATATTTAATTTTTTTAATGGTACCCAAACAGAGATCATCCTTTTTCCTCTTAAGATTCCTTTCCTTTACTGCAGCATTCTCCATCACACTGGGCAAATGGCAGACAAAGCTTAGGACCCTTCACTTGAATGAGCAGCAGAAGCCATGCATCTCTGCAATCCTTGTAGCCACATACAACTCCACTGACTCTTTGGCCCACATCACATGCACACACCTGGCCTGCAAACTACAGTGTAATTCTGGATTTCCTGTCTATTTTCCATCCTATTCCAGTTCTGTCAGACCAGAGCAGGGACAGAATTACCCAACTGCCTTTCTTCCCTCCCTATTTGGCAAGCTGGGCTTCAGTTCCACTTCCTGGCTTCAAGGTCGATGTGGTGAAGGATGTCAGAATAGACAATGGGCTAGTGGATAGGGCACTGCACAGGGACACGAGAGAGCCGGGGTCACGTCCTAGCTTAGTCACAGACTTCCTGTGCCACCTTCTGTAAATCACTCTAATCCATCTCTGATTCCCACATGTAAATAGGAACAATACTTCCTTACTTCATAGGGGTGTTGTAAGGATAAAATCCATTCGTGTATGTGAGACTGTGAGACAGTGAGACTCTACCATGATGTTACTAGTGTAACTAAGCAAACAAAATGGGAGCTGGTCAGTGCTTCAAGAAATAAGACCATTCGTTTTGATAAATTTATGAACAGGATTATATGACTGTTGCTGGCAACTGGACTCTATGATCCACAAGGTCCCTTCATGTCCTGTGTCCTATGTTCCTATGTACAATAAAGGTTGGAACTATGTGCAGAGCAGGGTTTGCAAAATCCTGGGCAGGTTTACAAGGAGGCAGGAGGTAGTCTCAGTTTATGAGATTTGTCATGGTTGCAGAGAGGCAGAGCGGATCCATTCATAGATGTTGTTTATGCAGATTATGAAGAGTGAAGATCAGTTTATTCTATATTTGCTTACAGTGTATACTGTTTTTGAGGGGTGGGGAGAAGTGTAGAAATGAAAGCTCACATGAAACACTTTGATCAGGTAGGTCCCAAATAGTTGCCCTATTCTTCCATTTTATACTATCTATAATCTTCACATAGCATACAATGATGCTATTTATCAGCACATCCAAGGAATTTTGGTCTGCCTCTCCCTTGCCCACCCAGTGGCATTTTTTATTTATTTCCTTGTTGTGAAATAATGAGCCAGATGAAGTTATGTCATTTGCACCAGACAGGAACATTGTTTGACACTCAGATAACCTCCAAGAAGGAAACAAATATTACTTTTTGATTTTTCTTGAGTCTTAGTAAGCAACTTCATTTGTAATCATATATGAAACTGTCTCAAGGCGTTATTTAGTATGAAGAAGTGGCTATACTGATTTATTAGTGAAAATTATTAATGAGCTTCCTCAGAGAACACTTAGTAGCCTACAGTTCATTTGTAAATATTTTGCCATGAATTTTGGCCGTTCATGCAGAGTTAAATGAAACCATATAATTTAATGATTATGTATTATCATAATACATAATTGGATGGCTTATGTAACTAACCATCAGACTGGAAATTGTGACACTTACATTCAAATCTATAGTTGGGTGCTCAAGTATTTGAGGAAAGTGAATACAAAAGAGTCCTGAATATGATTTAAATTGAATTTCCAGTATTTCCTCAAATCTAGACTTGGAAATCGTCATTAATGTCCATAAGACACAGACAACATCAAAGTGTATTTAGCTAACAATGATCATATATTTTCTTATGTTACATAAACTTAAAATGTATTTCTGAAATCAAGGTAAAAAAATAGAAGAAAGAAAAACATCCCTTGCAGCATAAATATAACCCGTTAATCTTCTACATACACAGAAGCCATAACTGTGCTTCCTCTTTTTTTCAGTTACAAGTAGAAAAAGCTTGTTGTGTAGATATTTTCCAAGAGTTCTGTGAGCATCAGAGTTTTCAAGTGGATGGTAATTTAGCAGATTTCCTGTGAACAAAGGGATTTGGGGCAAAACCACTCACTTCCCTGCACTTTAAGCATGGGGGTGTTGTCTGGTTGGCCGGGAGAAGAGGGTGATGCTTTCTGGCTTGGGGGAGAAGGGGAGATGTAAAACTGCTGGAAGAGCTGTCAGCGTGGTGAATGACTCACCACCTAGGAATGAGGGGTTTAAAAAGGTCAGCCTAGGCCTGACCCCTCCCCTCATTCACTTGGAACAGGCTGGGCAGCACTCACCCGCCCTCCCTATTTAGGTCACAAATATGCTGGGTGTTTAGCTATATCTGCTGTGAGCATGACGCTAGCTGCCCCACTAAGGGGGACTGGGAAGGAATTTTTTCCTTACCACCATATTGGCCAGGTGCAGTGGGGGGATTTTCGCCTTCCACGCAGCAGGTTCAGGTGGGCTCTGTTCATGCATAGCATGACGGGCGGTAGACTATATGTCGCAACTCTTTATTTAACTGTATAGCGGATGTTCAGTGCAGGTACTCCATAAATTAAGGCACAAAAGAATGGATAAATGGCTTGGGAAAGGAATTAAGGAGAGGTGCTTGGTAATTGAGCAATCCGGGGGCAGTTGGGGACTCCTTTGATTGGTACAGCAGGGAGATCACCCCCCATCATTATAGTCCACCTTAACCCCTCCTACGGGGGGCGGGGGCGGTAAGGTCCCGGCAAGGGAATTGCTGGAGGGATCAGGATGAAAAGGTGGGGAGCTGGTGGAAGCCCCCCCCAAAAAAAAATTGGCTGGAATTGGAGCATCCCGGCAGTGGATCTGCTGGAGGGACATACATTTTTCACCTGCACTGCACATTTTATCCGCCAGGTTAGTCCCAGACATCTATCTAATAATAAAGTTGTGGCCTGATTAAACCCCTATCTGTTTCCTGTTATTCTTTCGGCATAGGCAGACAATGCTTATTCTGTGTGGAAGCCCTCCCTGCCAGCCAACCCTTCAAAAGGAAGACTTGGGGAAAACTCTACACTGATACCTCACATTTTCTTTCCTCAAAAGTGGCTCAGTGTGCTGAGGGTTCTGCGTCGGGTCTGGAGAAGAAAATAAACAATAACAATGTATCACAAATAGAAAAAAGGGGAAGTTGATATCAATGAATATAAATTTAAACGCTAGGGATTGTGGAAAATTGATAAAGGAAGCAAAAGGACACAAGGAGAAATCTATGGCTATCAGAATTAAGGACAATAAGGAGCAAAAGAAATCCTAACCCTGGTATTGGTCTACTACTAGATAGAAATAGTAGAATTGCCAATAATAATGCAGAAGTGTTCAATAAATATTTCTGTTCTGTTTTTGGGAAAAAGCTAAATGATGTATTCCTAGCATATTATGAAGAAATACTTTCCACTTCAATAGTAACTCAGGAGGATGTTAAACAGCAGCTATTAAAGTTAGACAATTTAAAATCAGAAGATCTGATAACTTGTATACAATGGTTTTAAAACAGCTGGCCAAAAAGCTCCCTGGATCATTAATGGCAATTTAACAATAAGCCTTGGAACACTGGGAAAGTGCCAGAAATCTGGAAGAAAGCTAACATTGTGCCAATATTTAAAAAGGGTAAACATGATGATCCAGGTAATTATAGGCCTGTCAGTCTGACATAGATACCAGGAAAAAAATTGAATGGCTGATATAGGATTCAATTAATGAAGAATTAAAGGAGGGTAATATCATTAATGTCAATCAACATGTGGTTTATGGAACACAGATCCTGTCAAACTAACTTGATATTTTTTGATGAGATTATAAGTTTGGTTGATACTACTAGGTAGTAGTGTGGCTGGAATACACATATACTTCTGTAAGGCATTTGACTTGGTACAGCACGACATTTTGATTAAGAAACTAAAATTATACAAAATCAACATGGCACACATTAAATGGATTAAAACTGGGTAATTGATAAGTCCCAAATTTAATTGTAAATGGGGACTCATCATCAAGCTGATGTATTTCTTTTGAGGTCCTGCAGGGATCGATTCTTGGCACTACACTATTTAACATTTTTATCAGTTACCTGGAAGAAAAAATAAAATCATTACTGATAAAGTTTGTAGATCACACAAAGATTGGGAGAGTTGTGGGGGGGGAGAGGAAAGGTCAGTGATACAGAGCTATCTGGATTGCTTGTTAAGCTGGGCTCAAACAAACAATATGCATTTCAATATAGCCAAATGTAAAGTCATACATCTAGGAACAAAGAATATAGGCCATACTTACAATATGGGGGATGCAGTGCTTCTGAAATAGACTGGGGGTCATAGTGGATAATCAGTTGAACATGAGATTCCAGTGGGACAAGATGTCCAAAAGGGTTAATGTGATTCTTGGATGTATATATGACAGATATGGCAAATTTCCTGCAGTATACTTGTATCTTTGGGGTCCATTGTACAAAATGCATAGTTTATGTATTATTGTGGGCCAGGATTGTAAGTAAAGTCTCTGGGGGGAGATGTGATGCAAGACCTGGATGATCAAAGGACTATATTGAACAATGTACCAGACAAGAATAGATATTTGGAAAAAAGTGTTAAGTGGGTTTCCTGGGGAGGTGAATGCAAATTCTACACCCCAGATTACACAAAAACCCAGCCTTTTGAAGCTACGCCCTGAGGGTCTTTGTCTGCTGATTATCCGTTATCAGAGGCCAAGCTAAAAGGCCCAAGCTGTATAAAGAAACGGCTGCTCTGCCAAGCCTGTGTGGTATGTTAGTTCTGAGCTAAGGCTGTTGTGGACTTGTAACCACATGAAAAACCCTTGGTGGGGTTTGAAGGACTGACTCCTATCAGCACCCTTGTTGGAGTTGAGGGTGATCGCTGGTAAACTTATTAGCATGTGCGCAGGTTTTTTATTGTTTTTAATATATTTTCTCTGTAATGCTTTCACCTTAAGAATAAATGCACTTGCTTAGAAAGAGCTGTGTGGGAACTTGTAATGCTGGCAATTGCAGCCTAAAGCAGCCACATTACAACAAAGAATGGGCCCAAATACTTTGTCTCATTCAGCCTCTAAAGCCTGGTTGCATGATAGTTTTACAATGACAGCATAATGTATGCTAACACGAATGTGTCTTAATTGTCCTCTGCTTTACAGCCACTGTTAGATTGGACAGTTTACACTCAGATTGCTGCAAATGCTGATTTCAGTCTCTTCCCGTTTAGATAAGCTTTAAACCCTGGAGTCCGAATTTGTTTCTGCATTAACTATTACCCTAAGGCAAAATTCTACAGTCTGCAGCCCTGCTCCAGTTATAGACATACTCTGCAACCATATGACTATCCCCAGATCCAAATACAATACTGTGGTGGACTTATGGAGGACCCTGTAGGGATTTCTAGAATACCTTGTTGTGACTAGTAAATGAAATAAAACACCACATTAATTCATTTGACCAAATGGAAAGGCCAGACTTGGTGGAAAACATTGACTCCGAGTACTTCTAATCAATAATGAAATAAATATATGTATGTTGTTGTGGTGCATTTGATTCAATAAAGCAAGCAAAACCATAGGCATCATGGCAGAGATATCCCTGATTATGTTCACTACACTAATGGTGATGTATATAGCAGTTCATGGCTATATAATATAGGGACCATTATTCTCACCTATCTGCATGCATAGAGTATGCTATAGGAATTCCTTTGCCCATAGAACAGAGGTTTCAGTTCTGAGGCATAGGTCAGCCAAGGGAAAAATGAACATCTGAACAGAACTGATACATATAATCCACTAGGTTTATTTGTTAATTCTAAAATGTTAAAACAGCAGTAAAAATAGTCTTTTGAAAAAGTGTTTTCTAAATGAACGTTCAATTACAATAGAATTTCCAAAGTGCTATATATTACATTGACATTAACACCGAATGAGTTCGTCCTGGTTAATGTTCTTATAGTGAATGCCAAAGCAATTCATCAGCAGCAGCTACATACAGTAAAGTGCTAACACATCTCATTAGCAAAACATCCTTTGAATGTCATGGCTCCAGTACTGTGGATCAGAGAGGAGTTCAGTGTGAATGTGACACAGACTAGAATCACACATTTTAGGACTCTCTGGCCTTGGCTACACTCGCGGATTCACAGCGCTGCCGCGGGGAAAAGCTTGCAGCGCTGCGAGCGAGCGTGCAGCGCTGCAGGCGCTGATTACACTGGCGCTTTACAGCGCTGCACTCGCTGCGCTCGGGGGGGGGGTGTTTTTTCACACCCCTGAGCGCAGCAAGTGCAGCGCTGTGAATTGCCAGTGTAGCCAAGGCCTCTGTTACAAATAGGGAGGTAGTCTGGTGTCCATTAAATAGGCCTGTAAAGATATTCAGATATTATACATACCTCATTTGTAGTGATCAGTTAAATGACAAGTATACACAGGGCCGGCTCCAGGGTTTTGGCCGCCCCAAGCAGCCAAAACCAAAAAAAAAAAAAAGACCGCGGCCGCGATCACGATCGCGATCTGCGGCGGCAATTCGGCGGGAGGTCCTTCACTCCGAGCCGGAGTGAGGGACCGTCCGCCGAATTGCTGCTGAATACCTGGACCTGCCGCCCCTCTCCCAAGCGGCCACCCCAAGCACCTGCTTGAGAAGCTGGTGCCTGGAGCTGGCCCTGAGTATACATCAGTAAATTGTACTAAAGAAATTAAGTAAATAGCCAAATTGTGGGGGCTCTGAGGCTTTTGGTTAAGAATCCACATACAGGGACCTTCTTTGGAACTAATTTCACTCTTCTCAAGGATGTAGGGGTGAGGGGAGGAAAGAAAGGGTCAAGCACCTCTATAGTAACTACCCTGATCCCAGACCCCTGAAAGTGCCGATCCAGAACAATGATGCTCAGTGTTGTTTAAGAGTTCTAGGCTGGGGAATAATCCTTATGGAGCAGTTCCAGATGCACTAGCCCCACAGTTCCCTTGGTGCCTCAGGGAAGTCCCAGAGCCCTGTCATTGGCACAGACTATCCAAGTGGATGGTTATTTAGCAGATCTTCTGTAGACAAAGGGGTTTGCAGGCAAAAAGCCACTGAACATTCTGTGGGGGAGCCATACTTGCCAGTCAACCCTTCAACAGGACAACTTGGGGAAATCTCTACACTGATACCTCTCAATATTTTCTTCCCTCTAACATGGCTCAATGTGCAAATTGATGTCCCCATGGAGGGGTCTCCATGGAGCCTGGGGAAGAGAAGAAGGTACAATGGAGGTTACTGTTCCTCACCACTCACATTTCTGAAGAAGGTAATCAGCACATGGAGAGTCTCCAGGCATATATCTTGGAGAAATGATCTCTTCTCCCCATGTTGCCTTATCAGAATATGCAATATCAGAAGCTCCTGGCAGCTTCTGATATTGGCTTCTTCTCTTGTAATGAAAAGGCACTAGACATCATGACAACTTATTCATGAGCAGAAAATTTAGGCTAACTAACAGGCCAACGGGTTACATCCAGTTGCTCCTGTTTAGTGGATTTGTGCTACACAAGGATAAGGGAGAATGCAAAGTAAACTCTTTGGATTAGACGCAGGGGTCGGCAACCTTTCAGAAGTGGTGTGCCGAGTCTTCATTTATTCACTCTAATTTAAGGTTTCGTGTGCCAGTCATACATTTTAACATTTTTAGAAGGTCTCTTTCTATAAGTCTATAATATATAACTAAACTATTGTTGCACGTAAAGTAAATAAGGTTTTTAAAATGTTTAAGAAGCTTCATTTAAAATTAAATTAAAATGCAGAGCCCCTCTGGACCAGTGGCCAGGACCTGGGCAGTGTGAGTGCCATTGAAAATCAGCTCGCGTGACGCGTGCCATAAGTTGCCTACCCCTGGATTAGAGTATCTGGCCCTAATCTTAGTGTATTTTTACCTAATAATTCTGAAAATCTAACTTCACTACAAATAGATAGGAACTTTGCTAATTTGTGTTTTTCTAATCTGCACACCCAAAAGACAAGCTTTCTCACAACATCTCAGCTGAGATTTAATGAGTGCTATATTCCTATGACTTCATTACTTCAAAAATTATACTAGGTAATAGATACTAG